TATTATCTATGACATGTTCAAATCGCTGCTTCTCAGCCAGCTCCTTATGTCGGTAGGTCTCTCTGGGGTTCCTCTCCCTGCAACAACTCAATTCATTTTTGCATCCTGCACAAATGTTTTAACTTGACTGCTTTTTGTCAGCTCATTTATAAACTATAGGGCCGGGCAAATATTTTGTCACAACTGTTTTGGACAGAAAGTTAGTTTTTGGGCTACATTTTTTTTTTGCTAAAAAGTCTCCTTTTTGTAGACCAAGGAACCTTGTTGTCCTTTTTGTAGAAGCTTTTAATGTTTCATTAAAAAAACCCAAAGCCCCCACACTGAAATCTGGCAGCTGAAGATGGAACTGTTTCCATTTGGAAATGCTCCTGCAGCGCATCAGTGAGTTGCACTTGCTTCCCGCTCTCTTCCCCCTCAATAGGCCTGGCTCCTCAGTCAGACTTCCTTTCCCATAATGCCTGATGGACATATCAATCCCATAGTGCACTGCTCCCAAAAACAAAGCAGACCTTCATGCATTGTGGGAATTGTAGTCTGGCCAACAAGGCCAACCTAGAGCTAAGAGTGGAAGAGTCAAAACTACATTTCTGTAAAGTGCCCTGGCAGCATCTCAAAATCCAGATACTTTGGCTTGCAGCTGTTCACCAAAAGCCAACATTTTCCAAGTAAAAGCTCCAGCTTTCTCACCAGATTTAGTCATGACAAGACTCCAGCTTGTGCACAGCAGTCTCTTAGCACTTGACTTATCTATGCTCCTATGAGCCTATTCCTTGTCCCTGAAGCTGTTCCTATTGTGAGAGGCACTTCACCTGTTTCCCGTGGAAGGTGCCACATGGCACCAAACAAGCTCTCGGGATCAGATGCACTACTTCCTTGTTCAAATGTTCAAGAGAAGATGATGTGTGTGCCTCTGGGCTCCTTGTGCTTCCTCAGCGAGGTCTGTGCACATCCCTGTGCTATGCCAAGGTCTGGTCTTGGCTCTTTCTTGACTGATGGGGGAGTCTCACAAATGTCACCCACTGTGACTCTAGAATAAGTTGTTACTCACAGTAAATCGGGTGTTGCTGAGTCCCCAACCTCCACCCCTCTATTTAGTGGCTAATCATTTTCCCCATCACTCAGTCAAATTAAATGCAGCTGGAGACTGAACATGGCTTTAAGTGATTAACCTTTAACACCTTTGTGAGGCCAAGACGTGACCTCTATCTGCTATAGAAGGGAGTGGGGGCAATTAGGAAGCATGATTTGTCTGGTCACAGAAAAAAATCAATGTGCAAACAAGGATTAAAAATGTGAGTGTCTGGCTCCCATGCAACTAGATCCTGGTGCTGTCTCTGCTGTAGGATCCAGTGAAGAAAGGACTATGACAGCCTGCAACATGGAAAGGCACTATATATACTGTAAGATGTTGTCTCTGATATTTCCAGGAGACCTGGAGTGAAATCCTGGCTCCCTGGAAGTCAAGAGTTTTGCCATTGAGTTTGTTAAAGCCAGACTTTCACCCTGGCCATGATTCCAGGGCCAACAGATCTGGTCTGGGGCAAGTGATCACTTCACTGTGTTTTCCAGTAGACAGGGATCTTTCCCAGTCAGCACTGTCAAAGACAGAGGAGTGGATGTTTTGGGGAAAAGTGAGTAAAAGCAGGGCAAAGAAATGAGCCCAAAGATCCTGAGCAAATCAGCTCGTAACAAGTCTCAGCAAAAGATGATGCTGTCACAAGCAATGACAGCAGACAGGCTATGGTGGCATACCCACCAACAGAACTAGGAGTGTAGTCACTAACAGGTGCCCAGGGAAATCTGCCACGCTCTTAATTCTGCGGGAGGGCGCAGGAGCACAATAAGCACAAATCAGGTACAGAAACAGAAGCACAAATCACTTACCTTTCTGGAGGGTGTGATAGGAGGATTCTAGGACCTGGCGAAAATATGGAAGCTGCAGATACGGCTTCTCCTTTATGGGCTCTCTACTGTTGGCTGATGTTCCCTTAGGAAGTGGCATTTACACTACTGTTCACAGTGCAGCTGAATATGAGATACTAGATTTGTTCTCATGTTTACCTTTCCAAGCCAGAATGCACATTTGGCGCTGCATCCTCAGGCCCAGCTCTGTGCTGTACTGTTGGGGAAGTCTCAAGAGTTAGGCATACAGATATGCAGAGCTGGGACAAACAGTCAGGCATACAGATATGATAGTAAGGGATGCTAATGTTAAATGGACAGGGGACAGGGAGTGTGTGTGTGTGTGTGTGTGTGTGTGAACACACCCTCCCCCCAGGATGCACAGAACAAGAGACAGATTTGGCCATCTATACCAGGGACTGTCTCATGCTGATTACCTTTGTGTCCCATTTTTTGGCGACTACACATTCTTTGGTTGAACATGGTCATAGGGCTAGTAGGGGAGTTAGGCTTATCCTGGACCATGATGCAACTACCATAAACATGACTGCATGGAGTGGGTTTGGGGCTAGTACCTGGCTCCAGTCAGAAGCAGGATGGGAGCCAGAATGAGCATAAGTTCTGTCCAGGCAAGATGGGAAGGCCATATAGATGGGTTTCCTGCTGCTTCAGCCCCGGGATGGCCTGGCCTGTAACTTTGTTCTGCCAACATAGGAGACCGGCTTCTTCCACTAGCCACTATCTTGAGATGGAATCAGATGACACCTGCTGCTGACCCGGCCTAGACGGCGGTGAGACTGCTTGCAGCCAGGGACATTTTCACAAGAGGGCCTTTGCTTCTCCATAGCTGTGAAGCTGGGGGCAGAGTTGTGTCTCTCCTTTGCTAGCTTCACAGTCTGGCTCTGCACTGGGCTACGGCTGCTTCTCACAGTGTCTGCATTGTGTAGGATTTGTCCCAGCTCTGCAAAACCAAACAGATGGCACCATTTTAAAGCTCTGAGGCAGATGCCAGCCCAGGAGGAGGGCACCCCACCTCTCCTGGCCCCACGGACACAGGGAGCAGCATGGAGAACAGAGTCCAGGAGGCACTGGCATGCTTAGCGGGTGCTTGCATGGGTGATTGCTGAGCACTAAGCAGCAGACTCACTGATTGTGGAGGGGAACCAGGCTCAGGAGATGTGCACAGCGGGCTTCAGGCCCTTGGCTCTCCCTGTGTGCAGTGAGGTGTCTATGCCTTTGGCAGCCTATGCTCAGAGAGATGGCGAGCCAGCATCCCTGGGCTGAGCCGGCTTAGGCTAGCTCACGAGGCCTTTGGCCAGGAAGTGGTCAAAGCAGAGCACACGTGAGGCAAGAAGGGACCGTATAGCAAGCAATAGACTGCAGTGGGGTGGGGGCGGAAGAGAGGAAGGAAATAAGCGGTGAAGTGCTTGTAAAGAGCCCAGGCAATAATAAACAGGAAGAGCTCAAAGAGCTGTGCTTGGTATGGTGGAGGGGAAGGACCCAGGGCAAGGGAGTCTCTCCAGGGGCTGCTTTTGTAGTAGTCAAGGGGCAGCTATTGCTGTCTTGGAGGCAGTGGCAGTCACAGCCTCTGTGTTAGGCTCATGGGCGTAGAGATCATGGAGGGATCTTGGGCTGAGACAATGGCTTGAAGAAGGTCTCTGTGTCTCAAGGGGAAATCTTCAGAGTGGATCCCTCTGCCCAGGCAGCTCCTCAGAGGGATTCTCATCCATGGCCTCTGCTTAGTGGAGCAAAGCAGCTTCCTGGCACAGACTAAAGCAGACTACCTGCCTTGGGATGAGACCAAAGCACTTTGGGATCTGATTTTGTCCAAATGGGAATTCAAGGGGGAGCACTGGGCAGGTCCAGTGCCTGCACTGCGAGATGCACAGGGCACAGCCTGCACGAGGGTGCAGCCTTGCTGTGCTCACCTGGCCTGGGGCTGGACAGCTGCCTTCTGGGATGGCTGTCCAGAGGGGAATGAAGCAGGCATGGGGAGAGGGGCTGAGACCTCCAGGAGGAAGGATGGGGTATGGGGCTGTGAGTGTGGTGGTGCTGGGCAGATGCTGCCTGTTTGCAGGTGTGGGAGGGGTAGGCAGGCCATGGTCACGGATGCTACAGGAGCTGAAGGAGAGGCAAAGAGAAGCTGTGAGGGATGATGGGGTGGCCATGGGTGAGAGGGGCAGCAGGCTCCAACCCAGCCAGGGCACCAC